GAATACTTAGGACCATGTGATATTTCAGTTTTTCTTTTTTAATAAATCTGCAAAAATGTCAACAATTCTGTGTTTTTCTGTCAATATGGGGTGCTGTGTGTACATTAATGAGGAAAAAAAATTTACTTAAATGATTTTAGCAAATGGCTGCAATATAACAAAGAGTGAAAAATTGAAGGGGGTCTGAATACTTTCCGTACCCACTGTATATAGTGTAAGTATACTTTATTATTTATAATTTATATATAATTATATATTACCCTATTATATATAATTTATAATTATAGTATTATCAATAAAACATTTTTTCCTATGACTTGTTTATATTAATTGTTTATGTGCTTTTAACACTTTTCATATGAAGCCTATTTAAAATTCACATAGACAGAGACTTTGACATTTATATATAAATTTAATGGATAACAAAATGATAGCATCAAAACATGGCCACCTTTGTTAACTGTCTTTAATTTTACAAAATTCCGCTGCTTTAAATTATGGATTGAGCAACACACAATTACAAGTCTGAGTTACACAGAGCCTCTGAGCCATCCATTACTTATAAAGCAATGCAAATAATCTAGTGTATGTGGTGCAAACAGAATGCTGTAGCGCTCCACTACAATAGGCCAATGCTATATTGAACTGTACACGTTTTAATCAGGTCAATGACTGACTAGTGTGTGACTGAGGTTCAAGGCATTACATTCCCTTGTGATAAGGACCGTGCCATCTCAGTGTGAACGAAGAAGGTTTTGAGATCCCCTTTGCCCTTCACATTGATGATCCCTCGACAGGAACACATGTAGCCCAACGTCTGCAAGATCCGACTCGTCTCCTCTGTGACCTGTGGAAGGAAGCACACTAGATGTGATCCACGGAAAAACCCATTAACAATTCACCAGGCTTGCAAGTAGGTCAGAACAAGGATCGACCTGGATTTTCCCAAGCACCCCTGTGCTTTCCATCCTACTGGCTACATTCACAGTGTTCCCCCAGATATCGTACTGTGGTTTCTGTGCTCCGATTACTCCTGCAATTACTGGGCCATGGTTTATTCCTGGTGAGAGAAAAGCCGGAAAACATTTGAAACATCCCGAATGTGTGCTAAATCTCTACCACAGGCTATTATGAGACTTATTAGGAAAGGCAAACAAAATGTTACCGGGTATAAAAGTGCTGACGGGCTCTGCTTACCCACTCGCAGCTTGAAGTCATTAAAGGAATGTTTGTTGATGACGTCAAGCTTCCCCACCAAAGCAAACGCAAACTCCACCATTGTTCCAATGTGCATGTACTGCCGGTCATGGTCCTTCAGAATAAGAACAAGGAACTCAGTACCCTGAGACTCTCAAGTGAGACGTTTCAAGCACAAATCAAGCTTTTAGCATCACAGGCAGGTCCTACAATAGGTCTTATGAGACTCTGAAATCAATTCAGTGTAATCTTTACAATAATTCTAATTTTGGACCAAACACAAGAGCTCCAATTTGTACCTGCGCATACTCTGGTCCAGGGGTCACATTCAGCCCCGTAGCAGCCATGTATGTGCTGCCAATAGTTTTGATCTTCTCCACGCCACTGAATTTGGGTTTTGACAGCAACTGCAAAACCCAAAAAAACTAAAGCATCAAGAAGAGAAGATATGTTAATATATTTGATCTTGGCAGACTAGATCTGATGTTGCTTCTGCTGCTGCATAGCAAGTATAGACTTCATACAGCCAATACAATCTTTACTGGCATCTATGATTCTATAAAGAACCTTTAACATCCATGGAACCTTTCAACTGCACAGAAAGTTCTTTATAGTGGAAAAAGTTTCTTCAGATCATTAAAATGTTAAGACTAAAGGTCCTTGCACACTGAGTCTGAAACTTTTGTATGCATTTTTCCGTTTTTTTTCCGTATTCGTCATCCTTTCCTATCAAAATGCTTGCTACGGATGCGAAAACGCAGAAAATCGAACCTGGTCCGAATTTTTTTATGACAGACGAAAGTTTCGGAGGCAGTGTGTAAACGTGATTGACACAACGTGAGGTCGTATTTATTTTTCAACGTGCGAACATTTCGGACGAAAAATTCGGACTCAGTGTGCAGAGACCTTAAGAAAAAAATGGCTTTTTTTAAAGAATGGTTCACTGTGAAATGTTCTTTGGGGAACCCAAAATGGCTCTTCTATGACAGTGCTGTGAAAGAGTGTAGATACACAGACTCACTTCAGTAAGCATGTAATATATGCTGCTGCTGCTGCATGAATCGGCATACATAAATCCCACAGCAGATCTAGACAGGTGGTGCTGGGGGAGGTGGAGGGTTTCAGAGGCACTCTGATAGCGCTGCAGGATCAGCTTACAGCAAACACTGAACCAGACATTTAGAATGTTGAGCAAGCAATCTTATTGGCTGCAGAATCAGCAGAGGTTTGTGCCTTGTAGCAAATGATGTGATTGCTAGCAGACTGCATGTATAGGACCTATCATGTTGCTCTGTTTAGATTAGTACTGTATTTGCAGCCTTTAAAAATAATCAAAAAGAACATGAAAACTAGTATGATTTCATTTATATGAGTAAAACTCAGTGGACGTTATTTGATCCTTTGTTAGGACCTTCCCCCATTTTTACTGTTACTATGACAAGTTTTCAAACTAGAACTTGGTTCTGCTATTAAAGTAAGTATTACATAAATGCTCTTATCTCAAAAGCCAGACTTTTGACTAGTCTGATCCACTTTTCTGCTTATTCCAGCCAAGAACCGCCCACCTAAACTGGAAGAGACCGTATAATCGTCATGTAAAGCACCCAGAGTTCATTTTATTTTTATGTGCCATTTATGGGTGGATTTATCTGAAACTGCTGATACCACAAAGACTTCTTTATCAAAGGCAGAATTTTTCTCTATGCATCAACCATTTCAACTTTTAACGTTTTAACACTGTAATGTGCTATTTTTAGTTAATTTTGGAAATATTCAGTTTGAAACCATCCAAAGGACCTAAATAGGCGTACATTACATAAGATCAATTGTTTGTCTGGCAGTATGTCAGTATCATTTTTAAAGCAGGGCTTAAGGAAGGATCAGTTATCGCAGATGGCATATATATCTTCACAAGTACTTTAGTGTAGCTTTCCACAGCATCTGAAATCAAAATAGAGTTGTGTCCATGGCCGTAGCCAGCTATGAGGTCACTGAGGTCCGGACCTCAAAAATAACATTTGTTCTCTGAATGACTAATTTTACTGTTTAAAACTCATCATATGAGTGTCTGCATGTATAATTAAGTTTAGACAGTTTGCAAGAATGTTTAGCGTCCGTGGTATGAAAATGATCGCTGCGAGACGCTGGAGCCTCCAATGAGTTGCCAGATCCAGCTATTATAAGCATCTTTGGACTTGTCTTTTCTACTTAATTTCTCCAAACGCAGTCCTGGAGGGCCGGTGTCCTGCAGAGTTTAAACACACCTGACCAGGCTATTCAGTGTCTTACTAGGCACACTAGAAACTTCCAGGCAGGTGTGTTGAGAGCTAAACTCTGCAGGACCGAGTTTGGACACCCCTGCTTTATAAAGTAAGAAGTTGCAGTTTAGTATAATTTAACAATGT